GCAGGCAGATTCTTTACAACTGAGCCATCTGGGGAGCCCTATATCTTGGACATGTTTCAGTTTATTTCAGTCACTCAGTTGTGTCTGACTCTTTGCAACCCCATGGACTGCAGCATGCCAGGTTCCCTGTCCATCACCAACTCCCAGAGTTTACTCAAACTCATGTCCACTGAGTCGGTGATGCCATCTAACCATCTCATCTTCTGTCATCCCCTTCTCCTCCCGCCTTCAATCTTTCCCAGGATCAGGGTCTTTTCAAAAGAGTCAGTTCTTTGAATCAGGAGGCCAAAGTATTGGAGTTTCAGCTTCAGCATCAGTCCTTCCAATGAACACCCAGAACTGATTTCCTTTAGGATGGACTGGTTGGATCTCCTTACAGTCCAAGGGACTCTCAAGAGTCTTCTCCAACATCACAGTTCAAAAGATATGTTTATGTGCAATTAAAAAATTGTCTTGAGAGTTGTTTGCTTTTGTTAGCTGTGTAATGTCATCAGTAGGATGAAAAATAATTTATTTGAAATTTCCATACCATTAGACAGGCTGTTTCTAAATGTTTGCTACTGTTCTCTGTATGCTAATTTTTAATAATGTTTCAATAATTTCCTTATGAAAATTTCCTAAAGTGAAGTTACTATGTGATAAATGTGAATATTTTAAGTCTCTTAGATAAAATTACCAAACTGTTCTTCAGAAAGATTAATCCAATTTATCCAATTTAAGCTGTCAAATTCAGCATATGAAATTATCTGTTTCACCAGTATGATTTTTAAATACTGGAAAAAGAAAGCTCAAGTAAATTGAAGGTTATAGTTATATATTACCATTTCTATTTCCTCCTCTATGAATTGCCTGTTCATGGCCTTGGCTCATTTAAAAATTTTCCAATTTGTGTAACTGTCTTTGGGTATTTAGAATATTAATTAATTGGTCTCATATTTATTGCAAATGTTTTCCAAAGTATAGTCTTCTTTATGATAATTTTTTATGTTTGAAAATTAAGTCATGATGTAGTAGAAACTTCTGTCTTGGAAATTGAATTTTCTTATATTGTTTCATGGTTTGAAAATTCTTATTCAGACACATAATAAAACCTAACTAAAATTTCTTCTGTCTTTCTTTTACATTAAGTTCTTTATACATTTCCCCCATATACATATGGCCTTCCCTGGTGGCTCAAATGGTAAAAAATCTGCCTGCAGTGTCAGAGACCCAGGTTCGATCCCTGGTCAGGAAGATCCCCTGGAGAAGGGAATAGCTTACCCACTCCAGTGTTCTTCCCTGGAGAATTCCATGGACAGAAGAGCCCAGTGGGCTATAGTTCATGGAGTTGCAGAATCAGACATGATTGAGTGACTAACAGCAACGTATAGATAACATTATAGCTCAGTTGGTAAAGAATCTGCCTGCAATGCAGGAGACCCCGGTGCAATTCCTGGGTCAGGATGATCCACTGGAGAAGGTATAGGCTACCCACTCCAGTATTCTTGGGCTTCAATTGTGGCTCAGCTGGTAAAGAATCCGTCTGCAATGTGGGAGATCTGGGTTCAATCCCTGGGTTGGGAAGATTCCCTGGAGAAAGGAAAGGCTACCCTCTCCAGTATTCTGGCCTGGAGAATTCCACGGACTGTATAGTCCATGGGGTCACAAAGAGTCGGACACGACTGAGCAACTTTCACTTTCATAAGTAATATTAGCTAATGATCCTTCACATTCATTATTAACCAGTTTTTTTTTCAGACTATTTGTTGGCATCAGTAAGAAAAAAGATGTGCTTTTCTGCTCTGCATTTTTGCATAGAAATTCTGACCTAAGTAGAAGTTCTATATAACAGCAAATCAATTCCTTTAGCTATGTCACCCTTGTCACTACTAATTAATCATGAGAAAATTAATCTAAGAAGAAGATAACAAAGCATATTTGCACTGTAAAAGAGCACAAATATGTATAGAAATACATACAGCTAATATATTTCTAAAATTTGAAATTTAACAAAAGTTGTTTTTGCACTAATAGCCATTTTAAGGGTGGTATCAGCTAATATCTGTGAGCAAAGTAAATTATACAGGGAAAGTTTAAACTAAGATAATCATTTTCTTATTCTGAAAAATTATGGTTCCTAAATGTAGCAATAAATATGCAATAAAAGGATAATATTTTTTGAAACTCTTACTGACCTTTCTCTTGTTGACATGAAGGTCTCAGATTTCAGAACTAGACTGAAGTGATGAAGTGTATCAATCATGCTATGTAGTTTTAAATCTTTTTGTCATAATTATTTTCTTATTTCTTGTGTGTGATTTCATGTTCTCACTAGACAAACTTCACAGAGAGGGCAATGATCATAGATGAAAGGTATTCTGGAATTCCATTAAATATAATACTCTGCACGAAATAGATGATCATTATATGAAGCAGCAGGCATTAAATACATCTAGAAATTTATACTGAGATGAACATTTTTAACAGGAGTTAATGTTTCCAGATAAGTGTTTGCTGTTAACCTGCAGATCCAAAGATGTCTCAGCTTCTTTTTTCAACTTCTAGTTCAAATGTGTGTGTTAAGTCAGTTCAGTTGTGTCTGACTACTTGTGACCCTATGGACTGTAGCCCAGGCTTCCCTGGTGGCTCAGTGGTAAAGAATCCACCGGCAATGCAAGAGCCGCAGGAGACGTGTGTTTGATCCCTGGGTTGGGAAGATCCTCTAAAGGAAGGTGGGGCAACCCACTCCAGTGTTCTTGTCTGGTGAACCCCACGGACAGGGACATGACTGAAGCATGTCCGTGACACACAGACTCCTCTGCCCATAGGATTCTGCAGGCAAGAATACTGGAGTGGATTGTTATTCCCTTCTCCAGGGGATCTTCCCAACCCAAGGATCAAACCCACGCCTCCTCTGTCTCCTGCACTACAGGCGGATTCTTTACCTCTGAGCCATAAATGTATTCTATTTATCTTGAATTTCTGAGCCGATATTTGATTTGTAGTTGATACCTTAGAAAGCAATTACTGGTTACCACATTTAAAGTTCAACGGTTCAAGAGAAATAAAATGAAAAAGGGTAAGACAAATAGACAATATAATTTACAATATAATTGACCAATATCAAGCATGTTTCTTCTCATTACTTTCATCTTTACTCATCAGAACATTGTTGTGTAATTCCACAATTACTCAAAAAGGCAAGAGAAATTATTTACCTCTGCAAATCCAAAGACAAGAGATTAGAGGCTAGGAATATTTTTTGCAATAATTTTTAAAGTACAAAAGTGAAAAGGAACAGGAATTGGGTGATAATTCATTTTGTTGAGCTTGTTTGGATCAGCACTTGTCCTTATTTTCTGTACAGAGGCTGTTGAGGCTGCCTCCTATACAGAGACTTTTCTTTCTTTTTCTTTCCAACTGAACACTTCATCTTCCTCCAAAGTGGACAATTAGTTACCAAGATTTGAGCATGTAAATAATCTGGAAGGCATTGTGTTTCAATAGGCACAGGATTGCAAAGGAACCATAGTTGGTATGGGAGGAAGCTTTCCATGCACTGGTGAGGGCCTGAACACATGTCTCCGTGAATTTCTAACTTCTCAGCTTCTCGAATCTTGCATCTGAAAGAGCTTCCTCTCTCATCCTAACTTACCTTTTGCTGACTAGAGAAGGATGAAATTCTGACCCTGATGCATATGTCTGGATGATACTCTTTTGTATGTCTCCTGCTCCTAGCCAAAGAAGCATCATTTACTCAATAAACACTGGCTGAGTATCCATAACAGCATTGTACTTGTGCTAGGAAGTAGACATAGGTAGTGGCCATAACAGTGATATCTACCCCCTCCCCTGGACACTATCCAGAGTGTCTACCATTGTGGTCAGGCCAATTCAGGGCATATACCTATCTGTTCTTTTGCTTTTTTCACTATTAGTTACCAAACAGTAAATTTTTCTGCAGATTCTAAAAATTATAAGACACTGTGAGGGCATGTACTAAATGTTTCTTGTGAAAACTAAAGTCAGAAGAAAATTTTCTTATGCAATTCTAGAAAAGCAAAAGACAATCCCACGCTAAGCAGGAAAGGTCAACTCCAGCAGGCCTGAAATGGCACTGAGTTGTTTTACTGCAATGAGACGTATACTTGCATTGCATGGGCTCCTGGCCAAAGCATGGGTCACACAGAATGACCGTTGCTCATAACCAGAGGTTTGATAGCTTTCAAATATTCATTGATTAACAATTAGTGTAATGAGGGTGAAGACTTTGCACTGGTCTCATTGAGACACCTGGAAGGCTCTGTCACACATCCAGCTATTTAGCAAGAATGTGCCTTCCTGAATACCCAGGTATAAGGAAGCCCAGCTGAGAGCATGTTTTGGATCACCTTGTTTGAGGTGCTTTGTGGGCACATCCATCATTCCTGGTCCCAAAGAGAAAGTACACCTGAGTGTGGTCCTTATAGAGGAAGCACAGTTGAATCTCCCATCTGGCATCTCTGGACCCCTTGCCCTAAGCCAACCTTTGACTGTGATGTGCATCTTTACCTTTAGGCAGCTGATGTGTCATTTTTTTTTTCCACAATAAATCGCAAATTTGTAAGCACAGTCATCTGGGGTCCTGCAATCCTTCCTCAGCAACAGAACCCTGTCTAACCACCACTGGAAGTATGCATATGCTGACCCAGGCAGAGACAAATAGCATCTATGAGGGAACACTACCAAAAGGCAGAAAGAATGAACTGCATTGTCCCTGAGGCATCCAGGACAACTGGAAGAAATCTTCTACAGCCCCCGAGACATTTATTTTTCTGGCAAGTGTTCTTCGTGTTTGTTTTTAGACAAATAGAAAATGATGGTTTCCCTGACACAAGCCATTAACTTTTCAGGTTATAAAAGTATAAAAATAATCTGAGCTGCAGCAGGCTAACAAAACAGATATTAATGAGTATCTCAGTGAATGAAATTAGGAAACTTACATATTTATTGCCCAGGTGTGGAGAGAATTCATCAAGCTGTCAGTTCTTGGTTTTTCCTTGTGCAGAGTGCTCCCCTAAAAACAGAAGATGTGTTTTGCTCAGAGAGTGAATAAGGATGAAAATAAAAGTTTCTCAGCTTTTTTTTTTTTCAAGGAAAGTCCAATTTCCCCCAAGAATGTCATCAGAGCCACAATTTACCTCTTGGTATTTATTGCCTGGAAATCCTTCGCCAAGATTTATGAGCTTTTTTGGCCATTGTTTATTTTTACCCTAGAGGAGTGATGCTAACTCGCTCCTTGGGGATAGACAGTGTGAGCTGGGAGATGATAGCAAGAGAGGCACCCAAGAGAATGAGTTATTGAATTTTGCTTGGTCCATGAGCTGGCTCTGCCTAAGCAAAACTATGTCATATATTTAAAGCGCCATTTTGTCGGAAAAACATTCAAGGTTCCTCTATTTAAATAATTCAGTGAGAGTTTTGTGAAAATGAATTTATAGGCCAACATGAATCCTTTGATGACATACAAAGCAGCACAGGGAACATTACTCAAAATAACAGCGTTTTTCCATCATCCAATATAAAGATAAATATTAACTTAGGATGATGTGAAGCTGAAAGACCATGAGCATTTTCATGTGCTCTTGGATCTGTGGTCAAAGCCTTTCACATTACCTGTGTCTTTCATGTAGATTCAAGTATCAACATTAGTCATGCTTTATAAAAGCAATATGGGTCAAGGTCTCCAGCTTTGAGAATAAATGTCATTGCTTTGCTCCAGCTTTTATCTGCCAGTTAGGACCATCTTCTGGGGACTCAATTGACGTCATCTTTTACCTGCACTGTCACGGGGATAATAGTACCAGAGATCTAAGAAGAACAAACCTGGGACTATCCTTCAAGAGCTCCTTAAACTTTGTGTTTCAAGAAATGTGTGGCTCTGAGCAATAGCCCTCATAGCTCCCAGCCCAGCACAACCCTTTGCTCACTATTGCGTATTTTACAAAAGGCACAGCACCTCCCGGAATCCATGGCTATAAAGTACAGGAATAAGAAGTAAACAAAAGAAACATTTATTGAACCCCTACCATCCACCAGAAGTCACATAAACAATTCATATGAAAATTACTACAATTGTTAATATCTCCCTTAATAATTAGACACAGTCTGTCTAGCTGGGAAGAGAAAGTGTGGAGAGATTAAATAATTATATGATTCTAGTAATACTTATAATAATGACATATATGGTAAAAGCAAACAAAATACAATTATACCTAGAAAAACACAACTGGAAGGAAAGGCCAGTATTGATGCCAGGTTGTCTCTCATAAGTAATTTTTAATTTTTTCTGTTCTCTATTTTCTGCATTCTACATTATACATATTGAGGTCAAATTAAAATGGCAATGTAAGCCATTAAGAAATATTCCAAGGCAGTAGTGCATGCTGACTTGCCAAATCAGCGGTTAGTGGAAAGACCATGTACATCTGGGACAGGCAAGGAAGCCTCAGTGCAAAGGCAGTTGTTCAGTCCCTAAATCGTGTCTGACTCTTTGCACTCCCATGAACTACAGAATGCCAGGCTTCCCTGTCCTTCACTATCTCCCAGAGTTTGTTAAAATTCAGGTCCATAGAGTCAGTGATTCCAACCAACCATCTCATCCTCTGTTGCCCTCTTCTCCTCCTGCCCGCCGTCTTTCCTAGTGTCAGGGCCTTTTCCAATGAGTTGGCTCTTCACACCAGGTGGTCAAAATACTAGAGCCTTAACTTTAGCATCAGTCCTTCCAATGAATATTCAGGGTTGATTTCCTTTAGGATTGACTGGTTTGATCTCCTTGCTGGCCAAGAGACCCTCAAGAGGGTCCAAGAGGGTGCTAGGCTTCTCCGGCACCACAGTTTGAAAGAATCAATTCTTCGGCACTCAGCCTTCTTTATAGTCCAATTTCCACATCCAAACATGACTACTGGAAAAACCTTGGCTTTGACTTATACAGACCTTTGTCGGCAAAGTGCTGTCTCTGCTTTTTAATACACTGTCTAGGTTTGTCATAGCTTTTCTTCCAAGGAGAAAGTGTCTTTTTAATTTCATGGCTGCAGTCACCGTCCACATTGATTTTGGAGTCCAAGAAAATTAAATCTGACACTGTTTCCACTCTTTCCTCATCTATTAGCCATGAAGTGATAGGACTGGATGTCATTATCTTCGTTTTTTGAATGTTGAGTTTTAAGCCAGTTTTTTCACTTTCCTCTTTCACCTTCATCAGAGACTGAGTCAAAATTGAAGGGCTAAAAAGATAGATTTTGAATCTCTGTATGGCTTTATACATCTATGAATCTTTTGCTCATCTTTACAATTTTGTTCATTTCTACTTATAAATGAACTTTTATTTGTAAAAATAAACAGAAAAGTGTATATTTAATGAGTAATTACCATAACATACTAACTAGTGCTAATATACTAACAATATATGAATAATGTGTAATTACCACAATGGGTAGGAGGGGAAGGTAGGAATGACAAAGAAGACAAAGGTGCTGTCTCCTCCTTAGTTCAGTGAGGAGGACAGTGGATAGGAGGTGAGTGACATCTGAAGAGTTTGTGTTATTCATATTAAGTGGTTCAAAAATCGAGCAAGAGAAGTCTGCCACATCATGGAAGGCCTTGTAGACATGATAAAATGTTGGAACTTAATATAAGATAATACAAATTTATTATAGTTTTCTAAGAAAAGGACAATTATAATGAATTCAGATCTGCTTTTTCTCCCTTCAAAAGGTTCAAAATCAAGTAATACTTTGAGATTAAATTCAGCATTACTGTGTTTTCTTTCTTTTGTGGATTCATATATTCCTTAATTTAGGCAATTTTGTTCATATTTTTATAACCTCACATGTTAAAAATGAGATACCCTATATTAACTTTATGACATATGGTGTAAGTAGGAATCATGTTTAAAATGCTTCATGTCACATGTATATTTTGCAGTCAATCATGGTGATGTTTAATTTGGCAAGATTTTTAATTAAATCTGAGAGGCATCTTGTATGTTCTTATAAAGGACTTATGATCTGCTATGTTTGGTGCTTGTTTTTTTTTTCTGAAAGCACATTCTCATGTATACTCAGGCTTTTTCTTTTACAATAAAGAAAGCTCCCAATTGAAATAATCAAACTTTATAAATTTATGGACTATATTTTCAACAAAAACATCTGCTTGAGAAAGATTAGACTTAGAGGAATCAGAAAATATGGACAGATAAACATCAAGACAATCAGAGGAGGAAAATTGGGGGCAAGGAACTGCTTTATTCAGAGAAAACATTCAGAATAACTGTCAAGCATAGAGGCGTATAGAAACCCAGGAAATTTAGCATCCACTGGCATTTTCCCTGAAGGTGGGTTGCTACAGAGCTCTGTTTCCTTGGAAACATGATTTATTGACCTCTAAAATGGCAAAATTTATTTTGAGATACAAGACTGGAGCTTATAAATTGACCTATTGACTAATCCAATTAATTCTTAAGACCACTGAAGCTCAAATTTCACGTTACTAACCTTGGTGTGTTAATTAACATATGTTTGTTGGTACATTTCTTAGGCCATGTAGCAAATACCATGAAATGTAACAACCATAAATTCTGAGTGGTGGGTAGTCACATATTTGGTCTATCAAATTCTTTTCTTTATTTTTTAACTATTTAAAAATTTTTATATATGAGATAGTAGAAATTTAGACTTTATTTTTAAAATTATTTCAGACTTTATTCTAGTTATATTTTAAGAAATGTGTAACTATTAGGGAAGGGATATTTAAGTAAAAATAATTATGATACTGTAACTTCCTTTGAGTGTGGTGAGAATAATTTTATAAAGAAAGCATATTTAAATAAGTCTCAAAAGATGGGAAGAGATGGAAAGAGATTTGTTTTCAGATGTTTCAGAAGACATCAAGTCCTGTTAATGGTGGAGAGACTTTAATCAAGTTTAATAAAACTGTGGTAGTCCAAAGAGCATTTGGAGAACAGTATGTTTTAGATTATCAGTTCTAGGTTATTGAAAATCAACTCTGAGTCGCCAATTTCACTTTAGCTCTATTACCAAATATTTTCTATAATCAGCTAGGTTGACCTTTGAGAAGTTTGGCAGAAATAAAAGTACCAGAGACTAGACCTTTTTATTTCCATAGTAATATTTCCTCCTTAGACCTATGACCAGAAAAGCTACTTCTGAATAAAAGGAAGTTTGGAGAGTTAAGGGCCTTCTGAACCATCCCATCATGGTTTACCCACTTATTATTGCAATTACTATATAAGCAATATCAGCTTATACAGAATTATACTTGGGCTTTAAAGAAGAATCAGCAAATTTGAAAGCAAGAAACACAAGGTTCTCTGGCAATTTCCCCTCCCAAAAGTCTTGATTCTGGTGTCAATTATCATTTCCCTTGTAGAGCAGGTGGTACTGATCCCAGCCCCCTCATCCCCAGAACAGCCATGGGCTTCCTTCCAGAGGCTTCTAGCTCAGAGCTTGGAGAGCCCCAGAAGCCACTGAGCATTTGGTTAAATTCCCCAGGAAATAAGAGAGAGTGCATAAAATTACTGTGATGCAGCTTACAAGATATAGGCAGATTCTGAGAACTTTTCTTGATAAACGGTATGGTCATGCTCCAGATCCTCCATGAGCTTACTCAAGATTAGTTCACATTCAGGCTTCTGGCCTGTCCCTTCCTGACCAAGTAGAATAGGCTTGTCCAAAGCTGGTGAACAGCTAGGAGAAACTGGCGAGTGGTTTCCAATTATCCTGTGAATGAATTTTACTCTTTCACTCATTCAGATGGTTACCTTTAAGAAAACAGTGTGGGAATAACGAACAGAAAGATACAAGACTGAAGGTCTCAAGAAAATGGCTCACATGAGGTATTTGGCCATGTCTCTGCAGATCTTGGGTGCCCTTGCTTCTCAGTTCTTGTTTGTAATTTGTTCTAGTTTGAATCCTCTACCTGAAATTCGAACCCCAATCAGTCTTTGATATATTGCTCATGAATTGGGACTATATTTAGTCTTTGGTTTTACAAAATTGTTTTCTGCAATATATTTACAATGTTTATCATCTGATATCTTTCACTTTAACATAACATGTATTCTGGGACTACTTTGTATAGGTAAAATTGGGGTGGTTGAATATTTTAAGTGTCTTGGATATAACTTGATATTTGTTAGAGCCACCTAGATTGTTTTGTAAAACTAAAATTACTTTTTATTTGTTTTGGAATATTGGATTTTTAAATATTTGATCTGCTCAGTACAAAAAGGGAATTTGCCTTTTTTTAATTTTTAAAAGCTATCTAGCATTCCATTTTTCATTATTCTTTATACAAATATAACTCATACAAATCATATCTATATGTTGAAAAACTTTACATTTCAAACCAAACAAAATCAAAACCTAAGAAACTGGAAAAAGAAATATAAACTATATCAATAGAAAATTGTGTTTTGTCCTCATTGAGAAGCTCAATTAAAATGATGTGAAATGATACAAGATATGATTTACATTTTAATTGATGAATCCAAGTTCCAAGTGGTTATACACAGCCGTTACCAAAAATATAACAAAACAACAACAATACTTTTTAAAAAACCCTGTGGCATGCTTAATGTTTTTTTTTTTTTCCCACTACTGCAGGATAGAAAATGCCTCGAGTCATCAATCATTCTTTAGAATACATCTACATGCAACCTATTAAAATCAGATAGTCTAATATCTTACCCCAAATGGTATCTCTAGGGCTCACTTTTCCTTCATAGGAGAATTTATTTCTTGGGGTTAATAATTATTTCTAAAGAAGTTATGCTTTTTCATTGTGGTAGCATGAACAAAATTCAAGTCAGATTTTGAAATAACCATTTTTCATCTAATCAACATATTGGGAGCTTACCAGACTCATGAGAAATTGTCTTAACAGTGAGAAGTTTCACACTCTCTTTATCGGACTGAGGTCTATTTGAAACAGAAAACATTTAAGTTAACACCACCGTAATTAGTATTACATATCTGTGAAAGAAAGAAAACATTATATGAACAGAAAGACAAAGATACACACGCATATATATTTTTAAGTGTTTCTATTGCAAAACTTTTGTCTCTTCAGATATAGCCACAAACTTTTATAGCACTTTCACTTCAAGTCAATAAATCTGTCATTCTGTTACAGTGATGATCTCAGATAAATTAAACATCAAAATGGGTCATATGAAACACTTGTCTCAGAGCCCATATTACTCATGCCTTCATTTCTGAATTGTGATGGGGAAGACATAGAAGAGTTTCCGAACCTTTTAGAATGGTGTGCGTTCTGGGGACATTCATTTTCATGGGGTCGTGGATACTGCAGTGCAGTGTCTGAACTGTCTATTTCAACAAGAGTTCCCACCTACCCCTCCTCAGTTCAAAATAGTTTCAAACCCCAGTTCCTCTCCTTGGACATCTCCAGAACCTCTACTTTAAATTCAGAAGGCCAGGTGGTATAAGGATATTATTCTTAAAGTTCACGACCCAAGGAATATACAAAAACACCCACAATAAAGCAGGCTACAAAGACAGGTCAACACAGAAAACTTAACCATAGAATTTGATTTTGACATTAAAATAGTGTGTCTCTTTGCCGCATCTTGATGGTAGCACTGGCTGGATTGCTAAGGACTGATTTGTTTGTTTTAATAAAGACCAAACAGGGTAACTATTTGCTGTTTAAGGAAAGCCACTCAGAGCTCTCTCAAGGAGTAGGCATGATTTTACCTAATTGTGAAAAGCATATTGAAAATTTCCATGGGAAAGCTATTTTAAAAATCTAGATATGTTTGTCTATGATTTTTTCCTCATGGTTGTATTCACTCCTCTATCTTCCTTTTCAACATTTGATTTCTGATTTTACCACTTTATCCAAGCTTAAGAGGAATCTTCTCTTTTAGTTGTTGGAATTTCTCATTTGAATAGAGAAAGTTCCCTGATATATAGGTGGCCAAATCCCAGATATTGTACCTTCTACCCAAACGCTTTAAAAAACAAAAGTTTGAGTAGAGGATTAATGCTTTTCCTTATGTAAACAATAGAGCTTCTAGATAAAAAAAAAATGATGGAGAGTTACTTACTGTTCATTTCCATTTTCCTGTGTGCCTAGGAGACAAGGAAATTTTTATTAGAATTGCTAAGAGCTTGGCTACAAAAACTCTGAGACTCCCACCACTTTCTATGCAAAGATGCTTCTAAAGCCATTTCTTAACTTTTTAATCTCTCCCCCTATTCCTGTCCCACTGATCATTTCCTCGGAGATGGTTACCACTCATTCCTCAGTCATGGCTAATACATTCACGGTATAGTCTCAACCAGGCCAAATACACTGAACTCAGCTCTGGACTGATTTTAACCTTATAGTTTCATACCACAGCGTGGAATATTATCCATTATCACACATTCCACAGACACCAAGAACTGTATCCATTTATTTTAACATTACTGAAAACAAATCAGCCTCAGAGTCTTGAATTACCTTTTAGAACTGAGAATTGATTTTTTGGCTTTTCTTTGTACGTTGCTCTTTCTGGGGACCCAAATCTCCATATCTATTGTGAGCCACGAGGAGGCAGATATTGCTTTTAATTACATCTGAAGCCCACTGATTCAGCCTCTCAAAAGTACCCTGAAAAATGTCACTGAGGCTACTAACTGCAATGAATCTTCCACCGCTTTGCCAGGCTGTTCCACAAGCATTTGGTTAGAGTGCGAACACAGGGTGATTCCTTTTGCACAAGACCATAGCCTCGTGGGGTCAAAACTTGCATTAATCTACGGCCTATGAGTCAAAAAAGTTAATAGAATTGCTTAAAGTCCTCTCTTTGTTCAGGATTTTGCTGTGATTTATTTCATGGATACTGGTTCTTATCTCTTGGATTTCCTTTCACATCTAAGATCACATCTAAGATCAGGATATGCCTTTGATTATCATACTCCTGACTTTGACAATTATTGTCTTATAAAGACCTTGATTTCCACTCAAATTTTGGCTACTTCTATTTCTGTCACTTTGGCTAAGATACTCCAACATATGCTATTTACCAACTAGATCTAACCTCATCTTGCCTACGGTCAGTTAAATACTTTAATAATATTAAAAAGTCCCCACTATAACTGTTACCTATGATATCACCTGTAATGCTCATAGCCTTGTTGCAGGATGAACAGATGTTTTCTTGTCTGCTTGCTTTCATATTTTTCTTTAGAAGACTATAATACGGGTTCACTAGCAGATAGGTTCACACCAGCAGATTACTTTATGCATATATGCCATTCTTAATAGGGTTAAGGTTCACACTACTGTCAGAATTATCCAGTTAAGCTTAGCTTCATACAAAAACCTCTGATTCATGTTGGCTTCCAGAGAGCAGAGCAAATTTACGAATTTTCTGAACTTAATGAAGTCTCACCCACATACTTGAAGAGCGATTAACTGCAGGTGTTTATGGTGCTAATTTAATGATAACAATGCTGTAAATTCTGTGTAGAAAACAAAGCTGACAACAATCAAATAGATTTGGCTAATTGTCCAACTGCCCAACTTGGTTATAAACTATTGCTTGTCTTCAGAACAATTCCATAGCGGTAGGAATCTTACACGTTTTTTTCCCTAAATGGTATGTTTCATCATCACCAACTTTTCAAATAATTTATTTACAAATCTCCCTATGCAAAGCAGTTTTGCAGTACACGGTGTTTTTAAAAATGTATTTAGTCCACAAATTTTTTCCCTATTCTATATATTCAGCACTCTCTGTTTTCCACTCGGTTGGTTGATTTCCTGATTGGTGGTTTAGGAACTTAGAGAAATCAAACTGATTTATAAAAATGCTACTTCCCCTCTGGAAACTGAGTGAGGAAACATATTTCAGACATTATTAAGAAGTTTATTCACTTAACTCCCAAAGGGAAAGACATTGATTTGTTTTCTTCTTATTTTCCAGCAAGAGCTAAAGTGAACACTGCTGTTTTCATCTCATTACTTCCCTTCGCACTGTCATGCACAGGCGCCAAACTGTCCACACCCTGCAGGGTCAGGGATCGGCCTCAGGAACAGCATTCATTAGTGTCCTGGGGCACAGTGTCCGCAGGGTAGACAAAAAGAGCATGGCTCCTCTATGTTATAAAAATGATTGATTTTTACTTTTTTAACAGTATGTGAGTCTTAGGGGGAGTTCTATTAGTGAACTATTTAGAATTAAAGTGAGGAAAAGAAAGGTTTTATTTCACTAAAAATTGCAAGATTCAATAAGGCTCTCTCTGCTCTATGTTACCCACAATACAACATGAGTCATATGTAGTTTGTGACTTGGAGGGGTTGCCTGACGCTATGGACTGAAAGTTTGTGTCCCTGTAACATTCATATGTTAAATCTTGATGCTCAGTGTGATGGTATTAGGATGCTGGGCTTTTGGAAAGCGACTAGGTCATGAGGGAAGAGTCCTCAGGAAAGGCTTAGTGCCCTTGTAAAAAAGACCCAGAGAGTTCTCTTGTCCCTTCTTCCATGTGAAGACACAGGCAGGTATAAACCCAGCAAGAGTGTGTTCATCAGACGTCAAATCTGATGGTACCTTGATTGAACTTAGCCTCCAGAACTGTGAGAAATAAATTTTTGTTGTTTAAATCATCTAGTCGACAGCATTTTTGTTACAACAGCCTAAACAGAATAAGATGTTTGACTTGCAGAGGAAGTAGGCTTATGCGGAAGTAACTACACTATAGTGTGATAAATAATATCATTAAATTCTATAGAGTCAAAACACTCCACTCTGCTTAAAGAGATGTGATGTTAAAAAAAAATGATAGATTAAATCTGCTTTTAAGGTAAATCCTAGTGAATAAGATGGAGATTAGGTGTATTATAAAAGTTAAGAAGAGGGCTGGGCATTCTAGGAGAAGGAATAACATGGATGAAGCAGAATACATGGTGCTCCATTATTTTAATACAACCAGGAAAGTGTCTGAAATGAAAAGACAGATTAAAGTTTAAGGTAACATAGGCGAGTTCCTGGGAACTGAAAGGGGATTTAGACAAGCATCAAATGAAAAGAACAGAAAAAAAGACTGAATAAAGATTGAAAGTAATTTGAATAAAATGAGGACTTTAGTTAATAATATATCAATTTTGGTTAAATGTGGCAATTATATCATACTAATCTATTAATAATAAAGGGTATATGGGAACTCTCTGTAATTATCTTCACAACTTTTCTGTAAACCTAAATCTATCATTAAGTTTAAAAGTTTATTTTAAAAAACACTTTAAAATAAAACGCAATTAGGGGAACTATGAATATTCAAGAGGCAGGGAGGAGAAGATGAAACAACAAACAGAAGAAAACAAACAGTGAGGATGTAAAAGAAGGCAGTGTCATTTTAAACAAAAGAAGCAAGACTTTTCATTAAGACTTCCATTAAGGAGGATCACAAAGAATTGTGGAACTAGAATTCCTCTAAAAATGGCAATAGTGTTCAATCTGGAAGAACTGATTAAATTAACAGAACACAACAGTCCTGGAAGACACCTTCATAGGAAGGAAGCTGTGCCTCCCAAGAGGGAAGTAAGACATAAAGCACTCTTCTTGAAATTATGGGCCCCAAAGGGAAATTATGGGTCCCAGTATTACTCTTTATTCTGTTACATGGAACAAGTCTTCACTATAGCTAAGGCATGTCATTTTATGCCATCTTTAGTACCATACTCCCCAACCATCCACAAAACTAGGGCTTTTTCGTTAAAAAGACTGTGCCCATATTTGATAATATCTGCCATTAGTGAAAGTGTTAGTCCCTCAGTCGTGTCCAACTCTTTGTGACCCAATGGACTGTAGGCTGCCAGGCTCTTCTGTCCGTGGAATTCTCCAGGCAAGAATAATGGAGTGGGTAGCCACTCCCTGCTCCAGTGGATCTTCCCGACCCAGGGATAGAACCCAGGTCTCCGGCATTGCAGGCCGAATTTTTACCATCTGAGCCACCAGGAAACCCCCCACCTGCCATTAGTAGTTAATTCCTTACATTCGCCAGCACTCAATTGATTCTTGCCCTTTCCCTCTATTTCTGTGATCAACCAATATAGCATTTTGTTCCTGAGTAAATTTCCTCTCTCTCACTAAGAGTTTAAATTTAAGTTTAGGCTGAGCAAGCATATTCCCCTTTTAGGAAAACAAAATGAAACAAAACATGGTTACCTACCTGGGTCTGTGTTCCAGCACATCCGATACAATCCCACCAGAGCAAAGACTGAAAGTGTTATTACAATCAAAGCAATAACCACAGGCAAAATAATACCTAAAAAGTATTGGAGACATTGTCAGTTAGAGTGGGTATTGAATCTCACAACACATAGTTTATGAACTGAGAAAAAGCATGCATGCTTCCTTTCTTCTTTAAACATCATTCTGTTAGAAACATTACATTTTAAGCAAAGAAGATATATCTGATTCATGGGTTATGCTTTGGTTGTTATTTCTGATGTACCCACTTGATGTCAGTCTTGTAGCCTTTCTGAAATAAAACTCCAAATCTAAGGAAGACTCTCCTGGTGACTAAAGGAATGAGGAAGTGGGAGACTGACCACACAGATGATGTCCCGTAGAGCCAGATCCATATACATGGTTTATATTCTTCACTACTTTATAATGAAGCTACTAATGTATAGCTTGGATGAAGAGAGTCAAAAGCACAAACTTCTAATTAGAAGATAAAAAGTATTAGGGATATAATGTACAACTTGCTAAATATATTAATAATTAACATTGCTGTATGTTATATATTCACTGTTGTATGTATGAATATTCATTAGAAAGACTGATGCTGGAACTGAAGCTCCAACATTTTGGCCATCTGATGCAAAGAAATGACGTATTAGAAAAGACCCTGATGCTGGGAAAGACTGAAGGCAGGAGGAGAAGGGGATGACAGAGGACAAGGTGGTTGAATGGCATCACTAACTCAAGGAACATGAGTTTGAGCAAGTTCTGGGAGATGGTAAAGGACAGGGAAGCCTGGCATGGTGAAGGACAGGGAAGCCTGACGTGCTGCAGTCCATGGGGTCACAAAGAGTTGGACACAACTAAATGGCTGAACAACAACAACAAATGTTACATATGAAAGTTAAGAGAGTAACAAAATCTTGAGTTCTCATCACAATTTTTTTATATTTCTTTAATTTTATATCTATATGAGATGATAGATGTTCACTATTGTGATAAGTTTTATGATGTAAGTACAGTTTAAGCTTATACAGTGTTGTATGTCAATTGTATCTCAATAAAGCTGAAAGGAAAAAAGATATATCTCTTACTGGTTCTATTGAAAATATTCTGGTCATAAAGCTGACTTCCTAAGAAAATCACAAATATCTTTCTGTAATAATATCTTTAAATTAGAACATAACTGAATATAAATGGATATTGCAGTGCAACAACATAGTCTAAGAAATATGTGTGTACTTATGAATGTCTGTTTGTGGGTATGGTGATGCTGCAGTAGTAAGTAGGGTGAGTTTTTCCTGTTCTTATTAACAGAGGGGTCTTGCTGTGTGTTTTAGAATTTGACTTCTTTTCTGGCAGTGATTTCCCAGGTTAAAACAAGAGTGATGAAAGAAAAAAGCTGTCATAGGAATTTAAGTAGAGATACAGAACTTACAGTTACTAATCAGTTAGGTGTAGATAATACTTATATTTATCAGGAGTTGAGAATAGCTCTCCAATTCATTTGTAGGGTGGGTTACACTTCACTCTTATGGTTAAATAATTGTTTTAAGTAGGTCTTGCTGGGTTCATATTAGATCTTGCATGAGATCACTAGTGCCTCCTGAAATGAAGGCGTCATGACACAGCAGCTCCATAAATGCAGTGCTGACTTCTTGAATGGGATGACTTTACCTAAACCTAAGATAATCTTTTATCATCACAGCTGCATGAATATATATATATATATATATATATATATATATATATATATATATATTCATCTTATTCTTAGTTTCCAGGGAAATTCATGAATATCCTCTCTATTCAGTGTTAGTATATACAGTATGCTATATGACATATATATGTTTTTGCTAAAATGGAACATTTCTTAAAAGGCTGTTTTTAACATTAAGATAAAGTTCTGTAAAAGTGAATTTTCATTTTTATGGAGATCTCTGCCTGTGCACTTTGGCTTATTTGAGGCTAGCCCCATCAATTCACCTTGACCTCTGGTGGTAATTGCTTGGCACTAAGGTCAAGGTAAGGAGCAGCAGCTGTGCTTTGCTGGAGCAGCCATGAAGAGATACCACACATCCAAGGTAGAGAAACCCAAATAAGATGGTAGGTGTTCCGAGAGGGCATCAGAGGGCAGACACACTAAAACCACAATCACAGAAAACTAGCCAATCTGATCACAGGACCACAGCCTTGTCTAACTCAGTGAAACTAAGCCATGCTGTGTGGGGCCACCCAAGATGGTAGGGTCATGGTGGAGAGGTCTGACAGAATGTGGTCCACTGGAGAAGGGAATGGCAAACCACTTCAGTATTCTTATCTTGAGAACCCCATGAACAGTATGAAAAGGAAAATTGATAGGATACTGAAAGAGGAACTCTCCAGGTGGGTAAGTGCCCAATATGCTACTGGAGATCAGTGGAGAACTAACTCCAGAAAGAATGAAGGGATGGAGCCAAAACAAAAACAATACCCAGTTGTGGATGGGACTGGTAATAGAAGCAAGGTTCAATGCTTTAAAGAGCAATATTGCATAGGAACCTGGAATGTTAGGTCCATGAATCAAGGCAAATTGGAAGTGGTTAAACAGGAGATGGCAAGAGTGAACATCAACATTCTAGGAATCAGCGAACTAAAATGGACTGGAATGGGTGGATTTAACTCAGATGACCATTATATCTACTACTGTGGGCAGGAATCCCTTAGAAGAAATGGAGTAGCCATCATGGTCAACAAAAGAGTCCAAAATGCAGTACTTGGATGCAATCTCAAAAACGACAGAATGATCTCTGTTCGTTTCCAAGGCAAACCATTCAATATCACAGTAATCCAAGCCTATGTCCCAACCAGTAACCCTGAAGAAGCTGAAGTTGAATGGTTCTATGAAGACCTACAAGACCTTTGAGAACTAACACCCAAAAAAGATGTCCTTTTCATTATAGGGGACTAGATTGCAAAAGTAGGAAGTCAAGAAACACCTGGAGTAACAGGCAAATTTGGCCTTGGAGTACGGAATGAAGCAGGGCAAAGGCTAATAGGGTTTTGCCAAGAGAACACACTGGTCATAGCAAACACCATCATCCAACAAAACAAGAGAAGACTTTCACATGGACAGCACCAGATGGTCAATAGCGAAATCAGACTGATTATATTCTTTACAGCCAAAGATGGAGAAGCTCTATACAGTCAGCTAAAACAAGACAGGGAGCTGACTGTGGCTCAGATCATGAACTCCTTATTGCCAATTTCATACTTAAACTGAAGAAAGTAGGGAAGACCACTAGACCATTCAGATATGACCTAAATTAGATCCCTTATGACTATACAGTGGAAGTAAGCAATAGATTTAAGGGACTAGTTCTGATAGACAGAGTGCCTGATGAACTACGGACGGAGGTTCGTGACATTGTACAGGAGACAAGGATCAAGACCATCCCCACGGAACAGAAATGCAAAAAGGCAAAATGGTTGTCTGAGGAGGCCTTACAAATAGCTGTGAAAAGAAGGGAAGTGAAAAGCAAAGGAGAAAAGGAAAGATATTCCCATTTGAATGTAGAGTTCCAAAGAATAGCCAGGAGAGATAAGAAAGCCTTCCTCAGCGATCAATGCAAAGAAATAGAGGAAAACACAGAATGGGAAAGACTAGAGATTTCTTCAAGAAAATTAGAGATACCAAGGGAACATTTAATGCAAAAATGGGTTCAATAAAGGACAGGAAAGGTATGGACCTAGCAGAAGCAGAAGATATTAAGAAGGGGTGGCAAGAATACACAGAGGAACTGTACAAAAAAGATCTTCAAGACCCAGATAATCACAATGGTGTGATCAGTCACCTAGAGCCAGACATCCTGGAACGTTAAGTCAAGTGGGCCTTAGGAAGCATCACTATGAACAAAGCTAGTGGAGGTGATGGGATTCCAGTTGAGCTATTTCAAATCCTGAAAGATGATGCTGTGAAAGTGCTGCACTCAATATGCCAGCAAATTTGGAAAACTCAGCAGTGGCCACAGGCCTGGAAAAGGTCAGTTCTCATTCCAATCCCAAAGAAAGGCAATCCCAAAGAATGCTCAATGCTCATTGCAAATGCTCACAATTGCACTCATCTCACATGCTAGTAAAGTAATGCTCAAAATTCTCCAAGCCAGGCTTCAGGAATATGTGAACCATGAACTTCCAGATGTTCAAGCTGGTTTTAGAAAAGGCAGAGGAACCAGAGATCAAATTGCCAAGATCCGCTGGATCATCGAAAACGCAAGAGAGTTCCAGAAAAACATCTATTTCTGCTTTGTTGACTATGCCAAAGCCTTTGACTGTGTGGATCACAATAAACTGTAGAAAATTCTGAAAGAGATGGGAATACCAGACCACTTGATCTGCCTCGGAAGCAACAGTTAGAACTGAACATGGAACAACAGACTGGGTCCAAATAGGAAAAGGAGAAAGTCAAGGTTGTATATTGTCACCCTGCTTGTTTAGCTTATATGCAGAGTACATCATGAGAAACGCTGGGCTGGAAGAAGCACAAGCTGGAATCAAGATTGCTGGGAGAAGTCAATAACCTTAGATATGCAGATGACACCACCCTTATGGCAGAAAGTGAAGAAGAACTAAAAAGCCTCTTGATGAAGGTGAAAGAGGAGAGTGAAAAAGTTGGCTTAAAGCTCAACATTCAGAAAACTAAGATCATGGTATCTGGTCCCACTACTTCATGGGAAATAGATGGGGAAACAGTGGAAACAGTGTCAGACTTTATTTTTGGGGCTCCAAAATCACTGCAGATGGTGATTGCAGCCATGAAATTAAAAGACGCTTACTCCTTGGAAGGAAAGTTATGACCAACCTAGATAGCATATTAAAAAGCAGCGACATTACTTTGCCAACAAAGGTCTGTCTGGTCAAGGCTATGGTTTTTCCAGTGGTCATGTATGGATGTGAGAGTTGGACTGTGAGGAAGGCTGAGTGCCTAAAAATTGATGCTTTTGAACTGTGGTGTTGGAGAAGACTCTTGAGAGTCCCTTGGACTGCAAGGAGATCCAACCAGTCCATCCTAAAGGAGCTCAGTCCTGGGTGTTCATTGGAAGGACTGATGCTGAAGCTGAAACTCCAGTACTTTGGCCACCTTATGGGAAGAGCTGACTCATTGGAAAAGACCCTGATGCTGAGAGGGGCTCGGGACAGGAGGAGAAGGGGACAACAGCGGATGAGATGGCTGGATGGCATCACCAACTTGACGGGCATGAGTTTGAGTAAACTCGGGGAGTTGGTGATGGACAGGGAGGCCTGGAGTACTGCGATTCATGGGGTTGCAAAGAGTCGGACACGACTGAGTGACTGAACTGAACTGAAGGTAAGGAAAAAAAATGCTCAAAGTGTACTTATTAAAGAAAGATTCAATAGAAGAAAACTTTCCAAGCAGTTATATGGGATTATAATGGGATTTCAGGTTAAGTAAATTTGCGAAAATGCTGTTTATAGTTGAATCCCTTCCCTTACTGGTGACATTCACACATTCTGCACATCTACTTACTGCATTGAATGAAGATATATGTGTTACTCACTGGAATAAGAGGGGCTGGTTGTAGAAGCACTTGCATTTTTTGCATTCTCAAGGCCTATTATTTTAAGGAAAAAAAAAGTCACCTTAGGTTAATATGTGCCAGCCCTCATAAGGCTTCTTTTACCTCCCCACTCTCTATTTAGGTAGCCTCTGTGATGGATAGGTATGAAGCTTCAAGTGAAAACATTTTATCTCATTCTGAAAGAGTTCTGTTTATGACTCGAGATTGATAGGGAATTAATGTATACAGTCTGAAGAGTCTGGACACAAGCAGATACCTATGAAACCATCCCCACAATCAAGGTAACAGACATAGCCATCACCTTCAAAAGTCTCCTCATGTCCCCTCCCTTTCTGAGAATGTTCAGTCTGTTTTTCTATATCAGTTATATCTCAGTAATCTGTTTATTTTAATTGGTGATGTTTTCTAGGTGAAGAGTAGTTAAGCAAAGCAAGCTTCCACTCATGAACACAGAATTCATACCTTGAGATGGGGAGATGTTTTCTGGAGTTGTAACTGATATTGAGGATAATGTAGTGGTTCTGAAAGATGATTCTTCTGGTGGTGAAGCGTTAACTGTAGGAAAACAATAAATCTAGAGTGAGAGTCAGATTATAGTATTTACTTTTCTTTCTGGATTTCTTTGCAGATTCAAAACATTTGTATTTCAGATGATCTGTAAAAACTGTTTATCACTGAATATGGGATACATACAACTGTACATTAAATCATGTGTTCCTCCTGTACAGATGATTAAATTTGGAGTGACAAAGCCTGGGTGTTAGTATTATATCTTCAAGAACTGGCCAAAAATAAAACTTGAACAAGTTTTTCTGACTCTTTTTTTTTTTCATTTATTTTTATTAGTTGGAGGCTAATTACTTCACAACATTGCAGTGGGTTTTGTCATACATTGACATGAAATCAGCCATGGAGTTACATGTATTCCCCATCCCGATCCCCGCTCCCACCTCCCGCTCCACCCAATTCCTCTGGGACTTCCCAGTGCACCAGGCCCGAGCACTTGTCTCATGCATCCCACCTGAGCTGGTGATCTGTTTCACTATAGATAATATACATGCTATTCTCTCGAAACATCCCAAGTTTTTCATTTTAGGCTATAGCCCGTATACCTACTGTAAGAGGTGTAAGTCTCTTAGTCGTGTCCAGTTCTTTATGACCCTACAGACTGTAGCCCACCAGGTTCCCTTGTCCAAGGAATTCTCTAGGCAAGATGGAAGATTCTGGAGTGGGTTGCCCATTTCCTCCTCCAGGGGTTCTTCCTGACCAGGGAATCAAACCCCAGTCTCCTGCATTACAGGCAGACTGTTTACTGTCTGAGCCACCAGGGAACGGGATGCAAATCAATGCAAAAGCATTCATCACAGTTCAGCTATTACAATCTTGAGTGATACTGATTTTTTTTATTATTATAAATACTTAAACTGGACAGAAATGCAGTTTATAGTGTTCTTTAGTGGTCAGAGAGAAAGACTGCAATGGAGGCTTTGACTGGAAGAACTGGGGGAAAAAATGATGGAAGATCCCTTCATTTTTATCTTGAAAGCTCAGCAGTGATTTATACTTGTTTGGTTTCTCCAGAGCAACTGCTTCTTGGATGCATGTCCACTGCTCTTTTTTTCCATGGAAAATGTTATTTTTAAATTGATTGTTATTATTTGTTGGCTTAGGTCAATATCTGCCATCTTTCATCAGAAGGACTCAAGCAAAAAAATAATAAATAAAAATGTATTATTCAAAATTCATGAATCTTAATAAATTTCAAGGAAATATAGATAATTAAATGTTTTCTAAGTGTACAGCATTTATTCTCGTGAATCTGTAATAAAATGTAATTTGCATCTGGAAAGGATTTTGAAAAATCATTCTATTTTTCTTGAAGCATGAAGTAGTATCTTTTAATCACACCTGTTTGCCTTGTCTCTACAATGCATTGCAAGTTCCTGGAGTGTGAGGGCCATCTTTCCCACCATTCACATGAAGCTCTGACTACAGTGGGTGTGCATTAAAGTATAAGTGACTGCTTAGATGATGTAAGAGGAAGGTCATGGATAAGTACATGAAAGAAATAGATGTTGCCTGTGATGCCTGGGATCTTTCTCTCATTGCCACCCACAGCCCAGCACGCACTGCATGCTTATGCATTTCTGACATCCGTGGGGGAAGAAAAATGTTAAGAGTCTGTACAGTTCTTTCTATGCAAGAGATCTGTGGGAGGAAGCTAGATATATGCCCCTAAGAACAAAGAAAAATGTCAGGCTAGTGCACTAAGCAGGCAGAAAAAGGAATTTTAAAGATAAGAGTAGGAACTAGCTGAAAGCTTGGTACTTAGCTGCTTTTACCAGTGTCAAGTGTTCTAGTAGAGATGAATGCTCTTTTGGTTGTGTTGGTAGAGAATAGATGCCTGATTAAATAACCAAAGGCATTAATCCTCCTGGGATTTCCCAACGGAGAAGGCAACGGCACCCCACTCCAGTACTCTTGCCTGGAAAATCCCATGGACGGAGGAGCCTGGTAGGCTGCAGTCCATGGGGTTGCGAAGAGTCCGACATGACTGAGCGACTTCACTTTCACTTTTCACTTTTATGCATTGGAGGAGGAAATGGCAACCCACTCCAGTGTTCTTGCCTGGAGAATCCCAGGGATGGGGTCACACAGAGTAGGACACAACTGAAGTGACTTAGCAGTAGCAGTAGCAGTAATTTTCAACACTCCACATTCTACCTTATTACCTTCTCATAGGCAGGCTAAGTGGTGGCTACAGGTCTGAGTATAATCTATCTGGATCAGATGAAACTCCAAACTTTTCTACTTAAAATGTGTTGACTATCCAGTGCTGTTATTGCTAAAGATCCACGGTTGGGCAATAGGATTAACCCTTTTTAAAAAATATTTATTTATTTGGCACATGGCACAGGGGCCCAGTAGTTGCCCCACTCTGTGGCATGTGGGATTTTAGTTGGTAAACCAAGGATTAAACCCGAATCCCCTGCATTGGAAGGCAGATTCTTAACCACTAGACCATCACAGAAGTCCCTAGAATTAATTATTTTTAAAAGAGGATATGGTGGCTCCTTGAATAAATAGTTTTTTTTTTCTTATGACCACAACCTTTAGTTAAAAAATCATTTCTGAATCCAGCACACACACACACTTCACCTCTAATACATTGAATACCTTCTTATGTTTTCTAGTCTCTTTTACTTCATTTTTAAAAATACTAGTCATGACCCACTAAAGGGAATTAACTTACAGTTTGAGAAACTCTGTCCATTAGCATGACCACACTGATAAAATGACAGGTCTTGGCTGAATTCATAAATTGTCAGTTTAATGTGATTCTTTCTGCAATTAAGATGGAGGGAGCCATGATATGTGCAGAGTTGATGACTTATGTGGATCTCACTGAGACTTATTATCCCACATTACTCCTAAAGCATTATCAGCAGAGGAGGTACAAGAGAGGTGCAGTGGATGGTTGAGAGCACGATTCTGAAGACTGAGCCCCTGGGCTCAAATGTGACTTGAGCACTTACTTGCTGTGGAATCTTAGGCAAGGCACTTCAACTCTGTGTCTGAGTTTCCACATTTAAAAAGTTGTTTAGGGCAGTAGTAAGTGAAAAAAAAATAAGTTTAAAAATACATGTACTGTAATCTTGCATTTGATAAAATATCAATATTAGTAATAAATGTTACCAAAGAATACAAAAATATGCATGCTGCTGCTGCTGCTGCTAAGTCGCTTCAGTCGTGTTCGACTCTGTGCGACCCCATAGACAGCAGCCCACCAGGCTCCGCCGTCCCTGGGATTCTCCAGACAAGAACACTGGAGTGGGTTGCCATTTCCTTCTCCAATGCATGAAAGTGAAAGTGAAAGTGAAGTCGCTCAGTCGTGTCCGACTCTTCGAGACCCCATGGACTGCAGCCCACCAGGCTCCTCCGTCCATGGGATTTTCCAGGCAAGAGTACTGGAGTGGGGTGCCATTGCCTTCTCCAAAAATTATGCAAGAAGATATATCAAATTGTTAAAAATTATTCTGAGAATAAGTGATAACATTTATGGAGGATTTTAACTGTCTACAATATTATATACTTCTCTAAACCTAGATTACTTTAAAAATATTTACTATGAGCATGTGCTAATCTGTGATCAGAAAAATTAATAATAAAACTGGATTTCAAAATAAAAACATGATTATAATTTTACTTCATCATAGTGTTGTGAAAATTAAATGAGTAAAAATAAATTAAAATTCTTTAGAAGTGTTGATACTGTTTATTATATATATAATTAATATAGAAGTGTAATATACATGTTAATTTATATTATATTAATACGTTACTTTATGAAAGTGAAAGTGTTAATCACTCAGTGGTATCCGACTCTTTGCAACCCCATAGGTTATAGCCAATCAGTCTCCTTTGTCCATGGAATTCTCTAGGCAAGAACACTGGAGTGGGTTACCATTCTCTTCTCCAGGGTAGCTTCCTGACCCAGGGATCAAACGCAGGGTTCTCCATTGGCAGGCAGATTATTTACCATCTGAGCCACCAGGGAAGCCCATATTATTTTATAACAGTATAATAACATATTTTTTTTTCCCCATTTATTTTTATTAGTTGGAGGCTAATTACTTTAAAACATTGCAGTGGTTTTTGTCATACATTGAAATGAATTAGCCATGGATTTACATGTATTCCCCATCCCGGTCCCCCCTCCCACCTCCCTCTCCACCCGATCCCTCTGGGTCTTCCCAGTGCACCAGGCCCGAGCACTTGTCTCATGCATCCAACCTGGGCTGGTGATCTGTCTCACCCTAGATAATATGCATGTTTCGATGCTGTTCTCTCGAAACATCCCACCCTCGCCTTCTCCCACAGAGTCCACAAGTCTGTTCTATACATCTGAGTCTCTTTTTCTGTTTTGCATATAGGGTTATCATTACCATCTTTCTAAATTCCATATATATGTGTTAGTATACTGTAATGGTCTTTATTTTTCTGGCTTACTTCACTCTGTATAATGGGCTCCAGTTTCATCCATCTCATTAGAACTGATTCAAATGAATTCTTTTTAATGGCTGAGTAATATTCCATGGTGTATATGTACCACAGCTTCCTCATCCATTGGTCTGCTGATGGGCATCTAGGTTGCTTCCATGTCCTGGCTATTATAAACAGTGCTGCGATGAACATTGGGGTGCATGTGTCTCTTTCAGATCTGGTTTCCTCAGTGTGTATGCCCAGAAGTGGGATTGCTGGGTCATATGGCAGTTCTATTTCCAGCTTTTTAAGAAATCTCCACACTGTTTTCCATAGTGGCTGTACTAATTTGCATTCCCACCAACAGTGTAAGAGGGTTCCCTTTTCTCCACACCCTCTGCAGCATTTATTGCTTGTAGACTTTTGGATAGCAGCCATCCTGACTGGCGTGTAATGGTACCTCATTGTGGTTTTGATTTGCATTTCTCTGATAATGAGTGATTAATAACATAATATTTATAGTATAAGTACAATTGTTATATTGTGATTAGCCACCTAGATAGTTGTGTCTT